TACTACTTACTACTAGTTACTACTAGTTACTACTAGCTACTACCAGTAGTACCGCACAAGGCGGTGGCGGAAGTTTCAAAAATAGGAAACCTATAGGAGAGATGGGTTGTTGTGAGTCACGGATGGCAGAGCGAATCCACTGATGGACCGACACCTGGTGGCAGTTGTGTTTTTTTGGAGTAGTTGCAATGGTTGCAGTGGTCGCCTTCCCGCAACTGCTGGATGTAGAGTGGTGTAGCGCAGTTGTAGCTGTAGTTGCAGTTGTAGCTGTAGTTGTCGTGTAGTGTAGTGTGATGTAGTGGAGCTGTAGCTGTAATGTAGTGTAATTAGCGCATTTGCAAGTGCAGTTGCAGTTGTATTCGTGGCGTGGTGTAACTAGTGCAGTGTAGTGCAAGTGTGCTGTCGCGTAGTGTTGTGTAGTGTAGTCTAGTGTAAGGTAGTGTAGTTGTAGTTGTAGTGTAGTGTAGTGTAGTGTGGTGTAGTGTAGTGTAGTGTAGTATGTGTAGTGTAGTGTAGTATACTGTTGTGGTAGTTGTAGCTGTAGTTGCAGTTGCAGTTGTAGTGCAATGCAATGTAATCAGTGTAGTGTAGTGTTGTGTAATGTATTGTGGTTGTAGTTGGATTGGTAGTTGTAGTGTGATGAGGTGTAATTGGTGTAGTGTAGTGTAGTTGTAATTGTCGTTGTAGCAGTGGTAGTAGTAGTAGTAGTCGTCGTCGTCGTCGTTGTTGTTGTTAGTGTAATTGGTGTGGTGTCGAGTAATTATATAGATGTAATTAGTGTAGTTTAATGATGAATGTAGTGTAGTATATTTGTATTTGTGGTTTAGCCGCAGGAAGTTTAGAAGTCAAACTTCCGACAATATGGACAAATGAAAAGCAGAGATGGAAAGAGTCAGAGAGAAGAGACGAGTAGAAGAGAGAAGATCAGAGAAGAGAAAGAGTCAGAAGAAAGAAGATGCAGATGCGCGAAAAGGTAGGAAAGTTGCGAAACACTGTGTCCGAGGGTGGAAAAGTAGGCTCGCTAAAGCGGCGGGTGCGGAGCCATCTGGCCAAATGAGAGATGAAGAATTGCACGCCGTTGTGGAGCGAAGCGCGTTTCGAAGTCAAAATGTACAGAACACCTCAGCTTCGGAGCACTTTGAGAAGTTGCGATGTCGAAAAAGTGCACGCCGTTGTGGCGCGAAGCTCATTCCGAAGTAAAAATGTACAAAGCACACCAGGTCCGGACCACTTTTGCAAGTTGAGATGTCGAAAAACTGCACGCCGTTGTGGAGCAAAGCACATTTCCAAGTCAAAATGTACAAAGCACCACATGTACGCGCCACTTTTGGAAGTTGACATGTCGAAAAAGTGCACGCTGTTGTGGCGCGAAGCACATTTCGAAGTCAAACGGTTAAAAACACAACATGCTCCTGCCACTTTTGGACGTTCAGATGTCGTTTCGCGTGGCAGGCGCAGGGGATTGTGCACCTTCTCAAAAGTGAGCAAAACGTAAGGGTCTTGTAACATTTCCAAAAACGATGGCAGGCGTGGGGCATTTGAAGAGGATCTGCAAAGATGCATTTCAGAGGTCAAAAAGGAGCCCAGGAAGCTTTAGCCTAATTCAAAAGGAGCAAAAAGTCTGCACCAAGTTCTTCTTCAAAACGGTGGAAAACTCCATGGACGCCCGTCAAGAACATCAAGCAAATTCCAAAATAAGCTCGGGTAGCTGGTTTTCGTTGTTTTCAGGGCCCTAGCGTTTGTTTGTACACAACAACAACAACGACGACGACGGCAGCAACCACAACCACAACCACAACCACAGCCACAACCACAGCCACAACCACAGCCACAACCACAGCCACAACCACAACAACCACAACAACAACAACAACAACAACACCAACACTACACTACGCTACCCTAAACTACAACTACACTACACCACACTACATCCAGCAATTGTGGGTGAGGTGACCACTGCAACCACTCCAAACAGCACAGCTCCAACCACTTTTTGGTCCATCAGTGGGTTCGCTCTGCCATCCATGCGTGCTAGCAACCAACCTCTCCTATAGTACCTAGTAGGTTTCCTATCTTGGAAACTTCCGCCACCGCCTTGCGCGGTACTACAGGAATTAACTACTCATGGATTGTAATGGGTCCGTCTAGTGACTAAGCCGGTCTGATATTCATCCATGTCGCTTGTCGGGAGCTTGTAGCATGCAGAGCAAGCGATGTAGGAAGTCATCGAACGCCATGGGGCTCAAATCCTCATGCGGCACGGGCTCGGCTCATTGACGTCCGGCAGCTGTTTTGACAAACACGCTTACATGCATATTGTGTTTTGGTGAAGTGGCAGCAGGCTTGCGAATAATTAGTGGTGAAAAAGATTTAGCCGTAGCCTCAATGACATGGAAAACGGCGTGTCAATCAAAACCAAATGGCATTGCACATCTTGGCCACAGCTATGCAAATGCTCGGCCCTTCGATATGGCTTGTAGCCTCCAAAAGCTCTTTGCTGACACCGCCCTGCACAGTGGCAACATTGGCAGCAGCCCAACATTTGAAAGCAAGGACATGACAACCTAATTATGTGCGTGGTGGTGGGGCTCTTCGTCCAAACCAGCTTTTCATGATATTTCCATGCTTTTCTTCATTCGGTGGCCTAACATGCCTGAAAATTCCAAATAAGCTGCCCGCAACAAAGGCATCCCAAGTAAGCAGTTAAAATTTGAGCCCCGCCTGTCCGTCAGCCACAGCGCCAAGAATGCTCACAATAGCTTGTTGTCCAGTGCCGGCAATTTCTTGTGAATTGTTTTGCCGCATGGTATCCAAAATTGTTTGCAACGCGGGTGTACAACCCATTTTCTTTTGGACGCAGAGCTGGGCAAGAACCTGTATGGCTGCTGCACAGGCGTTTGGACATTTGTGCTTCAGAGCTGGGCGCAGCAAAGAAATGGTGCCTGCACAGCACATCTTGCAAAATTTGAAGTAGCACAGCTTTGGAACACAGAAACATGCAGAAGAAAGTTAAAAACATAAAAAAAAACATACGCCGTTGTAGCCTATAGACAAGCGCGAATTTGTGCAAGAACAAAATTTCTGTCCAAGCCACGGCAAGTGTCCGCAGCAAGCGCATCGAAAGCTCGTGCCACAAGCTCTTGCCGCCGTCTATGCGCCATGTGGTAAGCCAGCCTGAATGGCAGTTTGCAAGGGCAAAGTTTTGAAACGCACAGAGTGTGCCCCGGGGGGTTGAACTGTTCAATTCGAGTTCGAACTGCGGTTCGGTGCTGCCCTGAGGTTGAGTTCGAGGTCGGGGGGAGGTTTGCAACGGGTAAGGGTTCAGTTCGAGTTGGGGTTCGAGTTCGAAATCATTTGAAATCAAGTCGGGAAGGAACTGCATTTTTCCTTCCCGGGGGAAGCGGTTCGAGTTCGAGGTCGGGAGGTCTTCCAACTTCCAACAGGAGAGGGGGGAGGGTCAGTTCGAGTTCGAATCCGAATTCGATTTCGCCATCGGGACGTCTTGCTTTTTCCCGAGAGCGTCTGAGCGCAGGGTTCTTCCAATAGTGGGGGTCAATCTCTCATCTTCTCATCTTCACATCTTCTCATCTTCACATCTTCACATCTGCTCATCTTCACATCTGCTCATCTTCACATCTGCACATCTTCACATCTGCTCATCTTCACATCTGCTCATCTTCACATCTTCTCATCTTCACATCTTCTCATCTTCTGCTCATCTTCACATCTTCACATCTTCACATCTGCTCATCTTCATATCTTCTCATCTTCACATCTTCACATCCTCACATCTTCACATCTTCTCCTCTTGCCCTCTTGCCCTCTCTCACGAAACGAGGTTCGATCGCCAAAAACTGCGGTAAAATTGCGATTTCAACGTGTCCCGCGCAACCCTTTCGCACGAAACGAGGTTCGATCGCCAAAAACTGAGGTAAAAGTGCGAGTTCAACTTGTCCCGCGCAACCCTTTCGCACGAAATGAGGTTCGATAGTCAAAAACTAAGGTAAAATTGCGATTTCAACTTGTCCGGCGCAACCCTTTCGCACGAAACGAAGTTCGATCGCCAAAAACTGCCGTAAAATTGCTATTTCAAGGTGTCCCGCGCAACCCTTTCCCACGAAATGAGGTTCGATCGTCATGAGGTAAAAGTGCGAGTTCAAGTCGTCCCGCGCAACCCTTTCGCACGAAACGAGGTTCGATCGTCAAAAACTAAGGTAAAATTGCGATTTCAACTTGTCCCGCGCAACCCTTTCGCACGAAACGAAGGTCGATCGCCAAAAACTGAGGTAAAATTGCGATTTTTTCTGTGTGTACAAAGCTTCTGTGTGCTGTGTGTGAAAGCTTCTGTGTGTAAGTGCATCTGTGTAAAAGCGTCTGTGTAAAAGCTTCTGTGTGTACAATCTTCTGTGTGCAAAAGCCTCTGTGTGTAAAAGCTTCTGTGTGTAAAATCTTCTGTGTGTAAAAGCCTCTGTGTGTAAAAGCGTCTGTGTGTAAAGCCGTCTGTGTGTAAAAGTTTCTGTTGTGTAAAAGTGTCTTTGTGTCAAAGCGTTTGTGTGTAAAAGTGACTGCGTGTAAAAGCGTCTGTATGTAAAAGTGTCTGTGTGTAAAAGCGTCTGTGTGTAAACGCTTCTGTGTGTAAAAGCGTTTGTGTAAAGCGTCTGTGTAAAAGCTTCTGTGTGTACAATCTTCTGTGTGCAAAAACCTCTGCGTGTAAAAGCTTCTGTGTGTAAAAGCTTCTGTGTGTAAAAGCCTCCGTGTGTAAAAGCGTCTGTGTAAAGCCGTCTGTGTGTAAAAGTTTCTGTTGTGTAAAAGTGTCTTTGTGTCAAAGCGTTTGTGTGTAAAAGTGTCTGCGTGTAAAAGCGTCTGCGTGTAAAGCGTCTGCGTGTACAAGCGTCTGTGTGTAAAAGCTTCTGTGTGTAAAAGCGTCTGTGTCTACAAGTAATTGTGTGTAAAAGCGCTTGTGTGTAAAACCGTCTGTGTGTAAAAGTGTCTGCGTGTAAAAGTGTTTCTGTGTAAAAGTGTTTGTGTGTGAAACCGTCTGTGTGTAAAAGCGTCTGTGTGTAAAAGCTTCTGTGTGTAAAAGCGTCTGCGTGTAAAAGCTTCTGTGTGTAAAAGTGTCTGTGTGTAAAACCGTCTGGGTGTAAAAGTGTCTGTGTGTAAAAGCTTCTGTGTGTAAAAGCGCCTGTGTGTAAAAGCGTCTATGTGTAAAAGCGTCTGTGTGTAGAAGCGTCCGCGTGTAAAAGCTTCTGTGTGTAAAAGCTCCTGTGTGTAAAAGGGTCTGGGTGTAAAAGTGTCTGTGTGTAAAAGCTTCTCTGTGTAAAAGCGCCTGTGTGTAAAAGCGTCTATGTGTAAAAGCGTCTGTGTGTAAAAGCTTCTGTGTGTAAAAGCTTCTGTGGTTAAAAGCTCTTGTGTGTAAAAGTGTTTGTGTGTAAAAGCGTCTGTGTGTAAAAGCGTCTGTGTGTAAGAGCGTCCGTGTGTACAAGTGTCTGTGTGTAAAAGCGTCCGTGTGTAAGAGCGTCCGTGTGTACAAGTGTCTGTGTGTAAAAGCGTCTGTGTGTGAAAGTTCCTGTGTGTAAAAGCGTCTATGTGTAAAAGCGTTTGTGTGTAGAAGCGTCCGCGTGTAAAAGCTTCTGTGTGTAAAAGCTCCTGTGTGTAAAAGGGTCTGTGTGTAAAAGCTTCTGTGTGTAAAAGTGTTTGCGATGCAAACTATTGTCTTGTACTTGTGCTATATTGTCTTGATACTCCTCTTCTCGACTGCCTATAACACATCTTTAATAATTTTAATATATTGTTTTGTAATATGGTGTCTCCATACTAACAAGAGAAGACCCTGCTCCTCTACGCTCTCGGGCCATCTGTCGTCTAGTTCTCCGGGCGGAGGGTCAGTTCGAGTTCAAATTTGGGTTCGCTCTCGATGTCGGGAGGTCTTGCGGTGGGGTCAATTCGAGTTCGAGTTCGGGCTCGAATTCAGTTCCAAGTCACAGGTCGGGAAAGACATGCAATTTTTGCCCTCAGGGAGAGGGCGGTTTGAGTTTGAGTTCGGGTTCGAGGTCGGAAGGTCTTGCAACAGGACGGGGGGGTCAGTTCGAGTTCGAGTTTGAATTTAGTTCGAAGTCACGAGTCGGGAAGTAACTGCCTTTTTTCTCCGGGGGGGTTCGAGTTCGAGTTCCGGTTCGAGGTGGGGAGGTCTTGCAACGGGACTGGGGGGTTCGGGGTCGCGCGGGAGGCGGGAGGCGACTTCGCTTCGAGTTCGGGTTCGCCAGCCCCCCCCCCTTCGGTTCAGTTCGGACTCAAATGACTCAACCAGCCTTAAAAATAAGACTTGCATCAACAATAAATCCTAAACCGGCCACTCTACACTTTACATTTTCGCACTCCGCGCTCGACACCTTTCATGCTACGCAGGCGCAGTATCTGGTGATGTGGCAACTTGCCACT